GCAGAAGCGGGGCCACATCTGTGATAAGGAGACCGTAGAAGCGGGTGCGCAGGAATGGTGAGGTGACCACGAATGTGGTTGGTCGGGTCGTTAAGTGGGATCGCAAGTGCGGGAGTTTTCTCTACAGAAGTGGAGTCGCATATGCATAAATGTGTCTGCATATGCGGATTAGCTGGGCAGAATATTAATTCGAAGGGTCTGGTCATTTTCTCATTATTTAAAGTTGTAGAGCTCGGTTAAGGGCGATTTTTGGGGAGAATTCTACCACAATTGAAGGGGTAAGTAGAGTTTACTTGATTTTGATCATAGATATTGATTACCCATAGATTATTAAACCTAATTTATTTTAATTAAATGTGGAATTTGGAGGTTTTTAACTATATTTTGCAGAGTGAAAATTGATACTTGAGGGTTGATTTGAGGTTGGTTTTGGACGAAATACACATGGTTGGTCTCATATCGAAATAGGTGTTCATGATTTATGAGTTTTGTCGAGTACCGGGGTGTGGTCTCAGGAGTTGTGATTACCTAGGATTTGTGACTTTGCTCAAAAGTTTAATACTATTTTATCCTCTTACTCATTAATATTGTTCTTACTGCCTCCGGAAGATCCGCTCCCGAGACCAAGATTTCTGCTATTTTATTTCGATTTCAAGGCTAAATCTTACATTTTTATTTAATTTATTTGTCATTTTAGGGTCAAATCAATTCACTTGTCTATAAACCACGTATAAATTCAACTGCACCGTTTTAAGGGCAAACAATTTTATCAACGGAGTCCAAAAGTGACATTATCTTTTGAGATCAAACATTCTTCTTCTTGTGATGGGTCATTTGGTTATATGGATTAGGGGTTATCTCCATATGAAATTCGAAACTAAATTTGTTTACTCCCTCCGGTTCACAATAAGTAACCAGTTTTCTTTTAGCACGCCCATTAAAAAAATGTTAAATCCTATACAAAAATATCTAGTATGACTAAACTACCCTTATTAAATATTGGTCACATAGTTATAGCGAGGAGTGAGAAACTTTTTAGGGATATGCACATAAGGGTAAAAGAGTAAAAACAAATTGAATTTTTTCTTGATTACCTAACTGGACACTTATTTTGAACTAAAATGAAAAAGTAAACATGTCACTTATTATGAACCGGAGGGAATAGTAATTAATGATAGGTATTAGCTCAAATCAAAATAAAATTTATATTAAAAATGTGAAATTATTTATCTCATATAAAAGGTGAAATTATCTTTCTCGATTATTATCTCATAATTATCGTAATCAATGAATAATCTAATTTTGAACCAAACGACCGCATAATGTTTTATATATGTTTCATGTGCTCCTTTGTTTGGACACGCATTGAAGAATTTTCCTGCTCTGTTCTGAATTTAAAAGTTCATCTAATTTGCGGACAGAAAAGTCAAATTGTAAAGTAATCATTGAAAGAAAAAAGAAAGAGAGAGACTAAAGAGAACAAGTTGACCATTTGGGGCTGCGTGGCAGCACTAGAGCCAAAAAACACATTATATACCATTTTCTTATCTTTTACTAACTCAAATGGTAAGTCCACTTCCATTAGGAAACAAAACAAACCTTTCACACGTATGTAAGATATGTATATCTATATCTATATCTATATCTTCTATATCTATATCATATTAGAAGGAAAGTAATATGCATTGTGGTTAAGTTAAATGACCAGCTAAAATGAAGGCACTTGACAATTTTAAAACAACATTAATAATTAGAAATTATAAATAGAAACATAATTAATGAAAGTAGTTTAATGAATCCTATAATAATCTAAATAGATCTCAGACAAATCTAATCTATATATTTATATTTATATTTATATGTATATTTGTATCTATATATTGATCCACTCATAGATTTTTCTTCTATATTAGCTAGAAATAAAGAGGTAAAAAATTAATTAAATAAATATAATAGAAAAAACAAAAAATATAGAGATACGTAAATTGAGATAACTTATGATTATTTATATTTTGGAGTAAGTTAAAATATAAAATAAAACTAAAATTTACTTAAGATATTAAAGATTTATTGAGTTTAAAATTTAAAAAATTCAAGCAGCAAAATAAGATCTTATATAAAGTATACAAATTATTTATAAGGTAAGAAAAAAAGTTAAAGAATCAGTAAAAAAATATTTTAATAACAAGATTAATAAAGTCATATTAATATTGATAAATCGGGCAAACAAATATTTTATACGTAAATATTACTATATTATTTAGATATAATGGGTTCAAACAATTAAGAAAATATTTTTATATGATTAATATTTGAATTGAGTTCAGTTAGTTTAAGTTTGAAAGCATAACATAAATTTTTAAAATGCGGTCCAATAATATAGTAATATTTACGTATAAAATATCTAAAAATGCGGTCCGGTATTGTATATTTACTGTTTGAACCCAGTATTGTATATTTACTGTATAAAATGCGGTTCATTTTAGCTTGCCACTTGGCTTAACCACAATGGAAACTACTCTCCTTTTAGTATAATATAGATAAAATAAATATACAATACTTAAAAATATTATTAAAATTTAAATAATTTAAAATTTTCAAGCAATATTTTTAAATCAAAATAAATGTTTATTTTATGATTAAAAAAATATATTATTTATCTATATTATATTAAAGAATAATAGTTGATAATAATATTAAATAAAGTTACAAGTTAATAGAAAGCCACACAAAAATGTAATAAGACTATATATCATATTAAAAAATAGCAAAATTACGTTAAATTATTAAAAATTTACTAATCGAAATGAAAGGGAAAGACTATTTGAGATTAGAAAGTTCTTAAAACTATGATGAGAATGCTCAAACTATAGATAACACCACAAAATTGAAGTCTTATTTATGAAAAATAAAATTAAAAAATAAAAAATAAATTTATATATAGGTAATTTTACTAATAAAAATTAAAAATTAACTTTGTATCTTAAAACTAATAAAGAAAGAAAATTAACATAAAGAAATAATATGACTGTGGAAATATTTCTACAACATTCAGATATAATAGGTTCAAAATAATTAAGAAACATATTTTATGATTAAAATAAAATTTTAAAAATACAAAATAAAATTTTAATATAGGTAATTTTACTAATAAAATTAAAAATTAAATTTGCATCTTAACGCTGATAAATTAATTCAAAGTTATAATTTAACTTGGAATATAATAATCAAATAACTAATTCAAAGTTATAATTTAAAACAAAATATGATATTATTTTTGTTATAGGCGAAACATTAATATAAAAACTAATTAAAATATTGTAGTAGGGAAGAGAATGCATAAAAATTAGAGGCAGTGTGAGGATACTTATACTTTAAATTAATTTAAAAACTAAATAATTAAATTATATTTTAAAATATTACTTTAGATTTAAATGATTAAAAAATTCCGAATAAGAGGTTACAAGCGTAAAAATATATCAAATTTCAAGAATAAAATATTTATATTTATTAAAGACTATTAAAGGATAATAAATAATATATTAATTTAATTACTAAGCTAATAAAAAATTATATAATAGTATAATAATATTAAATAATAAATTATACAATAACTATAAGGAAAGAACCAAAAAAAAAATTTTTTGCATAAAAATGACGTGATAAATAAGATATATTTGACTTTCAGATAAAAACAAAGTGGTAGTAAGAATTTTATTAAAATAATATTATCTAATGTGCTCAAACAAGACAGATCATAACATGACATGTTTAGTATTCTTTAATATTGATAGCGAAACGAAATGTAAGTACTAAAAATAAGGATTATGCTACTACAAATATATATTAAAAAAATAGGTTGTCCACTACGAGATTTAAACAATAATTTCATATTCTTCTTCATAATTAATATCTAATGTTATATAATTTTTATCTCAGAGGTTTATATTTTAAGGTTATTCGCACATGATTCAAACAACCTACACCACAATTTGACATGATTTTTGTCCGCGCATCGCGCGGGTACTAATACTAGTATTATATTAACACAAGAATAAGTGGTAGAGTGATAAGTAGTCTTTCTTCATTAAGTAGAGGTTTCTCATTCTACTTTGGATAGAAATAAACTTTTTAAGGAAGCACTTCACCCTTTAATGTGGGGCTTTTGGGGACGAATTTAATTTAATCGAATTCTAATATAAATATCGAACAACCGGCGAAGAAAAGAATGTATAACTAAAACTGAAATCGCCTTTGTTAGGAAACGCTTTACTCTTTAATGTGAAACTTCCCGAATGAATATGAGTTTAGTCAAACCTCAACGTGAATATCACACCCCGTATGAAAAACCGTTTTTTAAAAACAAAATAAACATTGATTTATAGCCCCATCACTTTGTTCTTTTGTGTTTTGGCGGGCTGGAAAATATATTCTCAAATATATATTTTTACAAAAATAAGGCTTTTGCATTTCATTGTGAGAAAATTCTGTTTTAAAGAATTTATTTTCACCAAAATGGGAAAAGATGACTTCCTTCATATTTGGGCATAAGTCAATTTTCTTTACAATTACTATTTTTAATTCTTAACTTATTATTATTGAATTTAATTTTTTCTCCATGTTATCTCAATTCTCAATTTTCCCTTCATATTATTACTCAAATCAACACTAACATTATTATCAGTATCAAATACTCAATTATTTCTTTAAGAACCCTATTCAACTTGTTAATATTTTTATCAATCTTCAATAAAATAGCTTTTTAAAGAATTATTTTCTACTCTCCAACCAAGCACCATAAAATATATTCCAGAAAGTAAGTAATCTTTTATAAATATTTCTATCCCAATTTAAAATAAATAATTATTTTCCTTTATTAATCTTAGGATTTTTGTTTTTCATTAATTATTCTAGTATTAATTGTTCCATTTTCAAGACTCTGTTTTTGTCAAACAAGAGAAATGAAAAGTGGGTCTCATCAAAATCCCCAAAAAGAAAAAGAGAAAATAAAGAAAAAGGGGATCTCATGTTCACAGGGTCTCTATTTCTTCATGTGATTTTGGATTAGTTAAATCGAATTATTCTTTCAGGTTGCAATAGAGAAACTTTTTTCCAACGACCCACATTTTGACTTTTGTGAGAATTAAAACGTTTTGCACCTTCTTTTCTCTTTCATTCCCAAGTTTTCTTCATATTTTTTCCTAAAGTGATTGATCTGAGATTCAAAGCCTTTCTATTCTTGACGACTTATTCTTCTACATAAAAATATGTAAGCTTACCCAATTGCTATTTTCAATTTGTTGTGATTTATAAATGCATATGTAAGGAGTTTGATTGTTATTTGTTATTAATTCTGCGTGAATTTTTGGTCGACCTTACTTGTATATACCCATTTCAATGTTTTTGCTAATAAGTTTGTGCCAGTTTCTTATATCTTCAGTGAGTTTTTTTTTTCTCTGCTTTAGTTTAAATTTTTTTTCTTTCTTTCTGATTTAAAGCTGCAAAAAGGTATGTGAGAAAAGTTACTACTAAGATGTGATAATCAAAGCTTCAGTTTTTTCCTAACAATTTGCATGAATTTGGTAAGTATAACTAATTTGGTGGTAGGCAACTGGGCAGCAACTGGGCATTAAANCTTGTATATACCCATTTCAATGCTTTTGCTAATAATTCTCTTAGTTTGTGCCAGTTTCTTAAATCTTCAGTGAGTTTTTTTCTCTGCTTTTGTTTAGATTTTTTTTCTTTCTTTCTGATTTAAAGCAGCAAAAGGGTCTGTGATAAAAGTTACTACTAAGATGTGATAATCAAAGCTTCAGTTTTTTCCTAACAATTAACATGAATTTGGTAAGTATAACTCATATGCATAGTTGTAAGCAACCGAGAATTCGGTGGTGGGCATTAAAGGGTGCTAACTAGTTAGCGGTTTAAGAAAAATTATGAGAGGAAGGAACATGAGATTTAGATGGGGGGGGGTTAGATATCCTGTGGAAGGAAATATTAGTTTGCAGTTAATAAAGTAGCAAGTGAAGTGATAGAGGTGTGTCTAAAGGTTTAGGACCTCGACCACAAGAATCCTGGTGGTGGGATGAGGAGGTGCTATGAGTTTATTAAAACTAAAAGAGACTGCTATAGGAAATTACCAGATACAGAGATGGAGAAGTCTTTGAAGAGTATAAGAGAGCTAAGAGGGCGTTAAGAAAACGATCAATAAAACTCGAGGAGAAACCCTCAATGACTTGTAACAAAAGTTAGGGACACGAGGAGAGAAAGAAGTAGCAAAACTAGTATGATTGAGATAGAAGAGGACTTTGGACTTAAACCAGGTGAATTGTATTAAAGACGATTCTAAACAAGTACTGGAGGGAAGGATGGTAAGCAACCTCCACTTCCAACCAAGAGGTTGTGAGTTCGAGTCTCCCCAAGAGCAAGGTGGGAAGTTCTTGGAGGGAAGGATGCCGGGGGTCTATTTGGAAACAGCCTCTCTACCCTAGGGTTAGGGTAAGGTCTGCGTACACACTACCCTCCCCAGACCCCACTAAGTGGGATTATACTGGGTTGTTGTTGTTGTTGTTGTTGTCTAAACAAGTACTGGCCGGAGATCGTGAGACCAATGAGATATGGAGAGGTTATTTTGATCAATTGTTCAATACAAACATCTGTACATGATAGAAACTGTAGTTACACCCATAGAATTAGGTCAGCTGAGGTAAAGGATGCCATGAAAATATGAAGATTACAAAAACTTGTAGTCCAGATGGTACTTCATAGAGGTAGGAAATATCTTGGAATAGGATGGTTTACCAAGCTGTTTAATGCTATACTAAGGAGTGGTATGATGCTCGACGAGTGCAGAAGGAGTACGTTGATCTCAATTTATAAGAACAAAGGAGATATTCAAAGTTTTGCCATCTGTCGTGGAATCAAACATGAGTCATACGATGAAACTTTGGGAAAGAGTGGTAGAGCGTACATTTAGCGACACTACAAGAGTGAATAAGAATCAGTTTTGTTTTATACCCGGTAGATCTACAATGAGAGCTATATTTTTGCTAAGAAGAGTGATGAAAATTTATCGCGAGAGGAAAAAGGATATGCAAATGGTGTTCATTGACTTGGAGAAAGCATATTATAGAGTACCAAGAAAGGTCTTTTGGTGGGTGTTGGAGGAGAAATTAATTCATGTTAAATATATAAATGTCACAAAAAACATGTATGAAAGAGCTGTCACTAGTGTTCCAGAAAGCAAATAAAAATGAACACTGTTCTATTAATCTTTCTCTTTTTCTCTTTCGGAAAATAGGATTGCATTTTTATCCTTGGGAACATCTGTGGATCAACTGTGCTCAATCTTTACTTTGACAAATATATTGCTGTCTTTAAAATCTTCCTCGGGCTGTTACTGTTTTTAGTCCCCTTTGACGAAGCCTTGCTGATTGCTTGATCTGTTTATTATTCGTGTCCTAGTTGCTATTGATAAAGTGATTGCTACTTTTGCCTTATTTCTTTTCAACCTATCAGATTTCTCAGTTATGTATTCTTTAGCTTGGTTGCTGACTTTTATAGCTTGCTTATTCCTTTTTGGAAGAGGAAGAGCGGCAGCATTTTGTGAATCAGAACAGCTTGTAATATGCAAGGAACTGGTCGATGATGTTGGACCTAATTGACTACTTTTCATTTGACTTCCTCTCGTGAGAGGAGTTGGCTAACATGTTTCCCACTAATAGCTCTAGTAATGGGCAGAAAGATGTAAGAGTTCAGGGACAAAGCTCTAATTTGTCAAGCAGGTAATCATTGAGCTAGATTATGTTGGAAATTTTAGGTCGAGTGTGTATGTCTGTTAATTCATCTCAGTTGCAGGCATGATTTTGGGATGACTTCTCTACCAAAAAATTTGATGGGAAATGACACCATCAACGACTCTCAGGATCATGAAGCTATGGTAGCTTTTCACTTTTTTTACAGAATATAACTTACAGTATGAAGGGAGACTATGTTATGCTAATGCTGAATAAATCTGTGATCAGGAGCTATATTCACGTGCTAAAGCAAAACAGGAAGAAATTCTATATCTTCGGGAACAGATTGCTCTTGCTAGTGTTCGGGTGTGCCATTTTTTTGGCCTTTTCTCATTTTCTTTTCGCTTAAGAGATAATACACTCTATTGTTCAACTTGTACCTTAAGCACATCGCATTGTTACCACGTTATTAGGAATCGCAGCTCTTGAATGAGAAGTATGGACTTGAGAAGAAATTTTCTGAACTACGCATGGTTTGTCTTTCTTGTCTGACTGAATTTACTTGTTTAATCTTTTTGTTCTATACATTCTTGTATTGTTATTTTTGCACTTGTAGGCGCTAGATGAGAAGCAAAGTGAAGCTATAATGTCTGCCTCAAACGAACTGGCCCGCAGGAAAGGTGATCTTGAAGAAAATTTAAGACTGGTGAACGAGTTAAAGGTAAGCACTAGAGTTGACTGTGAATATCTGGCACTTTTTTGGGTGTATAAGCCTCAGTCTTTTAAAATATTTTTGTACTTGTTGTTCTTGATTTAACTGCAGAATATGGTTTCTTCTTTGAGAAAGATATTTCTTGGAAGAACTGTATATACTGCTAAATCAACTAGCTTGGGATTGAGGCATAGTAGTTGTTTGTTGTTTTATCCTCTATCTGCATCTCTCTCTAGGATTTTGTTTATTGAAAGGCTTACTCTNTTTATTGAAAGACTTATTCTTTTTTTTTCAGGATACAGAGAATGACAGATATATTTTTATGTCATCCATGCTTGGATTATTGGCTGAATATGGCATCTTTCCTCGTGTGGCTAATGCCTCTAGTCTGACCAACAATGTGAAGGTACTGATCACATAGGACTAGAGTAGTTTTTTAATAAGAAAGTAATTTATCTGTGTCTCTCGATCTAATTGTTTACAGTCCTTGAGGTATTTAATAATCTCTGAGGAGTTAAAAGATCCAGCATGCTTTTCATGTATTAGTGCTTCAAACTCATCATTGACATGCAGATTATGTGGATCTGTAGTTTCTTATGAGTTTCTTCTTATTCTTTTCTTTGTTCGTTAAAAAGCTTGTTCAAATCTTTAATATGGCCCCTTGCTTAGTGTATTCTCTGTTATTGTAACATGGATTATATTCACATTGAGCATCTTGACCAGCCACCAGACATTAAATTGAAGACTATATGTTGAAGAAAAGATATCTAATTGCTACACATTATTTCTCTGTGACAAGTTTTAACAATGTCAATTTAATTGCTCTTATCGTGACAGACAAAATATATTAAATTGCTAGTTTGGCAAAGCTGGTTATTTGATGATGCTGGAACAATTTTCATCTGGCCTGACTAAAGTAGAAACGTAAGGCACATGGTACAATACTTGTATCGGACATATTGCTCTGGCCGGTCAAAAATTGCTTTGGCAAGAGTACTGCCCACAAAAGTGTTGTCATTTTTCTAATCCGGAGAAATTCATTTAACAGTCATAGTGGCAATAAACGCTACTACATATCTAATTCCAAAACCATTCCTTAAAACTTCCATCATCATTCTTTTGTTGTATATCATGCTTGGCATGCTAATAATACTGCCATGTGGATGTTGATGGGATTGTTACTGGAGTTCTTATGCCAGACTAATCTGAAGGCCTGAATGAATGCTGTTATTCTCAAGTTTTGCTTTTCGGTGTTGTGAGGAAAACTAGACTTGTATGATCGGAAATCTTTTTGCTTCTGTGCTGTTAAATTCTGCCTGATTCAGAGTTTAATTTAAATAAAACTTTTTCCTGCCTAAATGAGCTTGTTATACTATAGAGGTGCGCACAAGCTGGCTCGGGCACCATCGCCATATAAAAAGAAAAAAGAAATACAAAATCTACAAAAGAATAAATCATTCAACTATGCCTTAATCCCAACTAGTTGAGAAAAGCTTTATAAATCCTTTTGTATCCAGTATGCTATTATCAATATTAAGAGGATCATCATAATTAGATGTTGAGGAAAGCTTTATGAATCCTTTGTATCCATTCCTTTCTAGTCAATATTAAAGGATCATTATTTTATTGTTTGACTAAATTAGACAAACTTCTCCTTTTCCTTTCACTTTGAATCTAGTCTTATTGGCTATAGCATTAATGAATATTGTACTTGGTGCATTGTAGTCTTCCTTCCAGGGTACCACATCTGATCCAGCTTTGCTCTCCTTAATCTTTTGCAGCACTTACACGATCAACTGGAGATGAAGATCAGAACTTCACATGTAAGGTTTTGACATTGTATGACTCGTTTACAATCTTATCAGTTATGATTTTGTATTTACGAACAAGATAGGGAGCACAGCCTTTTCCACTAAGCTTTATACTTTTTTTTTCTTTTGGCAAATTGCGGGATGTTTACCTCAGTACGCTATCAGAATACTATAAATGCAAAGAAAGCATTATACTGTTTCTTTTGGAAATTGCGCTATGTTTATTTCAGCAGACTATCAGATTACTGTAAATGCAGGTGACCAGCATCACTAATTCAGGTTTGAGGAACCTTTTATGTACTCAGTTCCAGAACTGAGATATCTAAGAACATACATTAGAAAGGAAATAAAAAGCAATTGGGGGTTTTGGGGGGGGGGGGGGGAGAGCTTCATATGTTCGAACCTTTTTAGAATTTTGGTGTGAGAGACGAGATTTTAAAATTGCATTTAAGGAAGTGATCTTTACACCTAGATCCAATGAACTACGAATGTCATATTATCCTAGTAGGAGGCGGGGGCCTTGAGATAATAAAAGAAGAAAATGTTCTCTATTGATGATTTCATTTTGGAATAAAGTACACCTATTTTTAGGTGTGAAACACACGGATGGAAATCCCTACATGAGTGTGAATGTGATCTTTAAAAAGTGGTGCATTTATGCATGGTAAGAGCCCAACAAGTGATTTGTGGATTAGATGGACGTCACGGGTTCGAACTCTGCCGCGGAAAAAAACCTAGTATTTAAGTGGAGAAGGGGAGAAGCATCATCTACCGAGTTTCGAACTACGCCCACTAACCTCGGGAATTTCTCAGTTATTAAAAAATTTTAAAAATAAAAAGTGGTGCATTTATTGCACCACTTGATTACGGTAATTGCACCATTAGCCATATTTTTAAGATAGTTGGCTAGACATAAACGCAAAGAATGAGCAGCATCATGATTTCAGGTTTGAGGAACCTTTTTATGTACTCAGTTCCAGAGCTAAGATATCTAAGAACATACATTTGAACGGAAATATAAAGTGTGGGGGATTTACAAAATCTGGATATATCCCTTGACCACCAATCTAACTTTTAGGCGATCAACCTTCCCATCAATACCTACACTTACAATAAATACCCAGCGACATCCTATACTTGTTTTGCCATTTTGTAAAATTACTTATCTCCCAAGTACAATAATCATGAATTACAGTGTGATGCTAACCTGGATGAGCCATTGTATCTGCCAGTCTTAGGTATTTTGACATTGGATGAACTTGTAACAAAGGCATGCTATGAGGGTGAAAAATGGTGATAACTTAAGAAATTATAAACTGGATGAAGGTTGCAAGCAGTCTGAGTGCCTCTCGAGGAGCTATAGGAAGATCAAGTACATTGTTGATTGCTCGACCAAAGTAGGAATGTTGTTGGAGTAAGCAATAAGTCACTAGGTGGACTTGGTCCAGAATGTTAAGAGGCGGATGATTTGGTCCAGATCGTTTGGAGTAGGTTTTTAGTGGTGCGGGAGTTGGGAGTGGCAAATTGAAACCCTAGGTTCTGGCCTATGTGGTTTTGCCCTAATTTTGATTTTGATTTTTTTTAGGACGTATATAGAAGGAATCAAAAAGGGGAACTGTAAGCAATTCAGAGGAGGAGCTAACACCCTAGCCCTGATACCATGAGAAGAATGATTTGAAAAAAAAAAAAAGAGATTGAAAAAAATTTGCTTGATTTTTGTTGGATTTTGAGTAGTGTTTAGTGTTTGCTAGTATTCAGAAAAAGGAAAATAAACTAATTCCTATTCCTCATCTTTCTCAAAAGTAATTCCTATACCTCATTACACAATTATCTAAATCTTTCCATATTCTCAAGTAATGGATTCTTACCATATCTACAATTTTCTAACATTATCATTCTAAACAAGAAAATTAAGGTACGCGTAGGAAAAAACATCATTAAAATGGTGGTCAGGTTAGTACATGCTACAGTGAATAGTCACCTCAGAGAAGTGAAGAAAGAATGTAGTAGAGAAAGTTGAAGTCGGGTACTCACCAAGCAAAATGGTGACAAAAATTTGACAGTCACAAAGTTGCTGTGAAGAAAATCCAACTGTTACCAGAAACAAAACTGTTGATAAAAACACTGACAGTTAATGCACAAAAAAAAAAGAAACAAAAGTTGGAGCCATAAATTCAACAAGTCTCTGAAAAATGCAATGACAGAACTAAGATTTATTTCTTGCAAGTGCTTTGATAATACCAGTAAATATGCAAACAATGTTTTCTACTGATGACTTGATTTTGAAATACAAACTGCACCTATTTATAGATGTTAAATACTCTTCTGAAAATCTCTAAATGTGTCTGAATTTGATTTTAACAGTGTGGTGCACTTGTTGCACCTCTTGACTGCAATAAATTCACCGCTCGCCAAAAATAGTTGACCAGACATAAATGTAACATTTGGTGGATTTATGATTTATTGCAATGGCTTGACTTTTTCCATAAATAATAATTCTTTTACTGAACATGTTTCAAGTCAAATATTTGAATAGGCCTAAATTTTCGCATGCAAAAGCTTTCAGTATCTTGTCTTTTGACAAGCTGGAAGAGTAAACAAATGATAATTACTCCCTCCGTTTCAATTTAACTGACACACTTTCCTTATTCATCCGTTCCAAAAAGAATGACACATTTCTATATTTAGAAATAATTTAACTTAAAACTCTTCATTTTACAAACTTTACCCCTACTGAGAAGCTTTTATAGCCACACAAATATTATGTCTGCACAAAGCTTTTGCCCCTTAAGTTTTTAGGACCACATATTTCAAGTCTTCTTCTTTTTTCTTAAACTTTGGGCCAAGTCAAACTACATCATCTAAATTGAAACGGAGGGAGTATTTTTTAGCTACTCGTCTTAAAAAGGGAAAAGGTCATGAAAAGTTTAAGCCTTTATGTACTAACCTTTTCTTGGAAAACAATGGAATAATCTACTGAATACATGGAAAACCGTTCAGAATTTAATCCTCTAATCAGTGAACTGTTGGAGGTACATACATTGAATTTCAGCATCATTGTCTATGTGCTGCGTAGTGCATTCTACTTTGGCAAAAGAAGAAAGCTGGGATCACCTTTGCGTTTCCCTTCCATTGACAATCAGAGATGGTTTGTTGCATTTAAATGTTGTCCCTTCCCTGTAAAGTGAGTGATCTTTTGTGTTTCCCTATCTATGGCAGATGGTTTGGTGTATTGATGTGTTGTCCTTCCTGTTTTCAAATGATAATTACTCCCTCCGTTTCAATTTAAATGACACACTTTCCTTATTCATCCGTTCCAAAAAGAATAACACATTTCTATATTTAGAAATAATTTAACTTAAAACTCTTCATTTTACAAACTTTACCCTTACTGAGAAGCTTTTATAGCCACACAAATATTATGTCTGCACAAAGCTTTTGCCCCTTAAGTTTTTAGGACCACATATTTCAAGTCTTCTTCTTTTTTCTTAAACTTTGGGCCAAGTCAAACTACATCATCTAAATTGAAACGGAGG